GGGAATAAGGCTTTTAGATTAAGTTTAACTACATTATTGAACTTTACAATTATTTCCTAATTTTACTTTTATTTTTATTTTTGTTTTCTTCAGGTTTCCACTCTAGTGTATGCGAAGTACACAGAGTCAAGGCGAACCATTGACCCCATACGATCCATAGTTGAGGAAAACTTTAAGAAAGATGAATAATCAAGGGGTCTGGGATAATCCACTCATAGAGGAGCCTGAGGAACAAGTGAATAATGAGAATGCTCAGGCTCATGGTGATAATGTACTTGGAGATGCATTGAGGGTGCAGGATCCACCAGAACGAAGACTGCGTGATAATTACAGGGTTGAATTTAATACTGTTGAATCTGAAGGACCCATTGTTCTCCCTCCACTACCTTTGGGGCATACATTCGTGGTGACTAGCAGTTTGATGCAAATGCTTACAGTGAGGGGTTTGTTTTCTGGTATGGCTTCGGAAGATCTGCATGTGCATATTGCGAAGTTGAGAAGTGTTTGTAAAAGTTGTGTGGGGCCACCGTAGTTGGATATGAACATCATAGGGTTGAGAGTCATCCCTCTATCATTAACCGGTGATGCTGATGTATGGTTTTCTGAGCTTCTGTACAACTCTATTCATACATAGGATCAATTGCACAAGGTGTTCATGGTCAAGTACTTTCCATTGTCAAAGAAGCTGAACCACAAAGATAAGCTCAACAACTTCGTGGCACTACCTGGAGAGTCTTTGAGTAGTTCGTGGGACAGGTTCACTACATTCATTAGAAGTGTTCTGAACCACCGCATTGATGATGAGTCACTAAAGGAGTATTTCTACAGAGGTCAAGATGACAATGGTAAGGTTGTGCTTAATACTATCGCTGGAGGATCATATGATGAGTGCACTTTTGTGGAGATCACTGAGAAATTGGAGAAGATTTCCCAAATCAATAAAACATGGAGCACTCGAAAGTCTGACACTGGAAGAAGCACATTTGCAGTTCAAGCTGCACCTAGTCAATCAGCCGATGACATTCGTGAGGAGATGGCGCACATAGGGACATAACTTGGGTTGGTATTGGAGCATGTAAGCGGAGGTCCAGAAGTAAATGCAGTGAATTACTTGACTAGGACTCCACCACCACCGGAGGAGGAATGTTACTATGAGGAGGATGCTTGCCTCGTGAATGATCACATGGGGGGTTTTCGAGCCAACACTCAAGGCTCCACTTTAGATAATTGGCACCAAGGTCAAAGAAACCAAGGTCGGAACTATGGTGACTACAATCGAAAGGGTCAATATGTCCGGGATGGGAACTACAATCACAACAACTACAACCGGAACAACTATGGCAACATGAACGATAGAGTTGGGCCTTATGTTCCTCCAAAAATATGGGAATCTGGTAATAGGGAAGCTCGGGTAGTATGTCACGGATTGAGGATATGATGCAGAAGATGATGAAGAGGTTTGATTCGACTGATGAGAATGTGAAGGAGATGCGGAATGACTTTTCTGGTATTGGTTAAAAAGTTGATTCCCATGCAGTATCAATCAAGCAACTTTAGCAGTAGATGAATCAGTTGTCCACTACAGTAAACCCACATCAACCTGGCACACTTCCTAGCAACACCATCCAGAATCTGAAGAATGATAGGCATGTATGACAGTCACTACTCAGGGGGTAAGCAGACTATTGATCCACCTATGCCGTCTGGGGTTGAAAATGTACTTGAGAAAGATGATGATGAGATTGAGGTTACTGGAGAGTCCAAGAATGCTACAGAGAAGAAAGCAGAGATAACCCAAAAAGTTGTCCCTATGCTTAGACCTCCGCCTCCATTTCCACAGAGGTTGGTAAAGAAGAATGAAGAATGGAAATACCGCATGTTTATTACTATGTTGAAACAGCTTTCCATCAATGTTCCATTGATAGAAACTTTGGAGCAAATGCCTGGGTATGCAAATTTTATGAAAGATTTGGTGACTAAGAAGAGGGCCGTGAGTTTTGAAGATGATGATAGGTTGCAACATTGTAGTGCTATTGCTACAAGGTCACTTGTGCAGAAGAATGAGGATCCTGGTGCCTTCACTATTCCATGTACCATCGGGTTGTTACATTTCGCTAAGGCGTTGTGTGATTTTGGTGCTAGCATTATTTTGATGCCATTGTCTATTTTCAAGAAGTTGGGTTTAGGGGATCCAAAACCAACTGTGATGCGATTGCTCATGGCCGATAAAACTTTGAAGAGGCCCATTGGTGTTCTCCAAGATGTGCTTGTAAAAGTGGAGTCGTTTATTTTTCCAGCGGATTTTGTGATACTTGACTGTGAGGTTGATTTTGAGATCCCCATCATCCTAGGGAGACCATTCCTTGCTACTAGGCGCGCCTTGGTCGATATGGAGAAAGGGCAGATGATGTTCTGATTGAATAGTGAAGAGGTAACTTTAATATCTGTAGGTCTATGAAGCAGGAAAGTGATCTCAAGTCAGTGTCCGTGGTGAATCATATTGTGGGTCAAGGTTCTGATGTGTCTATTGAAGAGCGGTTGGGTGTTGATGCACTTGCAGCGGTGATGATGAATTTTGAGGGTGATGGTATTGAAGACTATGATGAGTTAGTTGTCGTACTTGATAGGTTCGAATTCCATTCCAAACCGAAGAAATTGGAGTTAGATATGAAGAATCGCGACTCACCACCCACAAAACCGTCTGTTGAAGAGGCTCCAAAATTAGAGCTTAAGACCCTACCATCACATTTGAGGTATGTATTCTTGGGGAGAGATGGTACTTTACCAGTCATCATTGCGGCCGATTTGAATGCGAAACAAGTTGAGGCTTTAGTTTTGTCTATTTAAGAGGTTTAAGAGGGCTATTGAGTGGACTATTGCGGACATTATTGGGATTCCTCCTATCATATGTTCTCATAAATTCCAACTCATGCCGGATCACAAGCCTAGTATTGAGCACCAAAGGAGACTAAATCCGCCTATGCAAGAGGTAGTGAAAAAGGAATTCACCAAGTGGTTGGATACTGGAGTCATTTATCCCATTGCAGATAGTAGTTGAATTTGTCCTGTTCAGTGTGTGCCCAAGAAATGTGGGATTACTGTGGTACAGAATGCGAAGAACAAGCTTGTTCTGATGCGGCCCGTGACTGGATGGAGAGTATGCATGGACTATCAGAAATTGAATGCTTGGATAGAAAATGACCATTTCCCTATGCCGTTCATGGATCAGATGTTGGACCACCTTGCTGGTAAGGGTTGGTATTGCTTTCTTGATGGTTATTCGGGCTACAATCAGATCTACATAGCACCGGAAGACCAAGAGAAGACCACATTCACTTGCCCTTATGGGACTTTCGCCTTCAAACGGATGCCTTTTGGGTTGTGTAATGCTCCAGCGACCTTCCAACATTGCATGATGTGGATCTTTTCTGATATGGTGGAGGACACTATTGAGGTATTTATGGATGATTTCTCTGTGGTAAGTGACACATTTGATAGTTGCTTGGATCATTTGGCCGAGGTACTAAAACGGTGTGAAGAGTGCAATCTTGTGCTCAATTGGGAAAAGTGACACTTCATGGTGAAAGAAGGGATCGTTCTGGTTCATCGGATTTTTGAGAAGGGTATTGAGGTTGATATAGCGAAAGTCGAGGTAATAGAAAAGCTTCCACCACCTATCTTTGTTAAAGGTGTTAGAAGTTTTCTTGGGCTTGCAGGCTTTTATAGGAGATTTATCAAGGATTTTTCCAAAATTGCACACACATTGGGTAGGCGTGGATTGATCATCTGGGAAGTCTAACTAAGTGTGGAACTACGGAGGCGAGTGACAGACCGTAGGTCGACCCACGGGCCATCCGACATGTCTGTCAATGATCACTGAGAATTGAAGTTCCAGTACCTAATGAAAAGTTCTAAGTGTAGAGCCACGGAAGAGGACCCACAGACCTTGGACAGACCCACAGTCCGTACTGCACGTCCGTCGATTGCAGCTGAGATTTGAAGGTTCCAAACTTCTGAGAAATTGTCTAAATCTTGAGCCATGGAAGGGACCTATGGACTTTAGGTCAGTCCATGGTCTGTAGGTCAGTATCGTCGATGAAAGCCGTGTCCAGAAAAGTTTATTTCCTTATTTCATTTTATTTTTGTTTAGGACATGTTTTTCTATAAATAGGGCATGTAAACCTCATTTTTAGGGGTTAGACACCATAGTATTATTTTAGTTCTTGGTATTTTCTTGGGAATTAACTTGCAAACTTTGGCAATTTGATTTCCTAATTTCGGTTTATAAGATTTTTTCTTTGAATTTCAATTGGAGATTACGGGTTTCTTCTACTCAATACGTTCTTCTTCTATAATTATGAATTGTGTTCTTTCAAGCATGAGTAACTAAATCCACAACTAGGATTGTGGGAACCATGATCAATTAAAAACGTATGAATAATATCTAAGTGATTCTTGACTAGTGTTGATGCATGTATTGCTAATTCTTTCGTTTAAAAGTCTTTTTAACGGTGGCCAACGTTAGAACTCTCCTTGTTGCTACTTGCCGGACCAAGGAGGTAGTTAATAAGAAAATAATTATCAAAAGAGATTTAGTGTGATACTATCTAATAGTCTAATTTCAATTGGTGCCACGGTGAAAACTAAGCCATACATTGATGTGATGTCTAATCTGAGGTAAATGTAAGGGTTACAAGCTTTATCCTTGGTTACTAAACATTGTCTTCATCGTGAGAATGGGTTATCTTATTTGACTATGTTGGACCGTTGAACACAACTTTGTTTGATCTTTTTGAACCTAGCTCTTGGGATCTCCAGTCTGCTAGGTAGAGTTACCATCATGCTTGACTTGTCCTAGGCCTTAAACCCATCCTCTTAGATGACCTTTCAAATTCCTCTCTAGTTAGGCCTTTTGTAAGTGGATCCGATACATTATCTTTTGACCTTACATAGTTAATTGTGATAATTCCACTAGAGAGTAGTTCTCTAACGGTATTATGTCTTAGTCTTATGTGACGAGATTTACCGTTATACATCATGCTCCCTGCCCTACCTATTGCAGCCTGACTATCACAATGTATGCATACAAGTGCCAATGATTTAGGCCAATACGGAATATCTTCCAAGAAATTCTGGAGCCATTCATCTTTTTCACCGGCTTTATCTAAAGCGATAAATTCAGATTCCATAGTGGAGCGACCAATACATATTTGTTTGGATGATTTTCAAGAGAGTGCTCCTCCACCAAGAGTAAATACATATCCACTTGTGGATTTTATTTCATCTGATCCGGTGATCCAATTTGCTTCACTATATCCTTCAATTACTGCTGGATATTTGTCATAATGCAAAGCATAGTTTTGAGTATGTTGTAAATACCCTAAAACTCTCTTCATTTCCATCCAGTGAGTTTGATTGAGATTGCTCGTGTACTGACTCAACTTACTAATAGCACATGCTATATCTTATCGTGTACAGTTCATGATATACATCAAACTTCCCAATACTCTCACATAGTCCAATTGTGAGTCACTTTCACCTTTATTCTTTCGAAGTGCAAAGCTCACGTCTATTGGAGTCTTCACAATATTGAAATCCAAATACTTGAACTTGTCAAGTACTTTTTCAATATAATGAGACTGTGACAAAGCCAAACCTTGTGGAGTTCGAAGAATTTTTATCCCCAATATAACATTTGCCGCTCCAAGGTCTTTCATTTCAAATCTAATAGTAAGCATTTATGTTAGCTAAGTCTCTACTAATGATTAACATATCATCCACATACAAAGAAACAATGACCTTATGATTTGGAGTGTGTTTAATGTAAACACATTTGTCACACTCATTAATCTTAAATCCTTTTGCCAACATTGTTTGGTCAAACTTTGCATGCCACTGTTTGGGTGCTTGTTTCAGTCCATAAAGTGACTTCACAAGTTTTCACACTTTTCTTTCTTTTACCAGGAACCACAAACCCCTCGGGTTGTTCCATGTAAATTTCTTCCTCTAACTCTCCATTTAAAAAAGCTATTTTTTACATCCATTTGATGGATTTCAAGATCATATACTGCTACTAGTGCAACCAACATTCGAATAGATGTAATCCTTGTCACTGGCGAGTATGAATCAAAGTAATCAAGACCTTTATTTTGTTTAAAGCCTTTGACTACAAGTATTGCCTTGTACTTGTAAATAGTACCATCAATCTTCATTTTCCTTTTAAAGATCCATTTTGATCCTAAAGGCTTATTTCCCGGAGGAAGATCAACCAACTCCCAAGTATGGTTATTTAAGATTCATTCAATCTCACCATTGACAGCTTCTTTCCGAAAAGATGAATTCATAGAGGACATTGCTTCTTGGAAGGTTTGAGGCTCATTATCAATGAGAAATGTTACAAAATATGATCCGAAGGAAGTAGTAGTCCTTTGACGCTTACTACGCCTTGGATTTTCTTCATTTTGTATATTTTCCTTTGGTTCATCTTGAGGTTGTTTAGACCCCCCCCACTAGACTCTTCATATCTAGCTTTATACGGGTAAATGTGTTCAAAGAATTCAGCATTATCTGATTCAATTACCGTATTGTCATGAGTATCTGGATGTTCAGATTTACGAACCAAAAATCGACATGCCTTGCTATTTACATCATATCCAATAAACACACACTCCACAGTCCTTGCTCCTATTTTCAACCTTTTGGGTATAGGAACTTGGAATTTCGCTAGACACCCCCACACTTTGAAATATTTCAAGTTGGGTTTCTTTCCTTTCCATTTTTCATATGGAATAGATTGTGTCTTTCTATGGGGCACTCTATTGAGTATTCAATTTGCTGTAAGGATAGCTTCCCCCCACAAGTTTTTTGGTAACCCTGAACTTATAAGTAAGGCATTCATCATTTCCTTCAAAGTTCAGTTTTTTCTTTTTACAATCCCATTGGATTGTGGTGAATAAGGGGTAGTCGTTTGATGGATAATTCCATTTTCCAAACATATTTCCGCAAAAGGAGATTCATATTCTTCACCCTTATCACTTCTTATCATTTTTATGTTTTTATCTAACTGATATTCAACCTCAGTTTTGTATTGCCTAAATGCTTCAATTGCTTCATGCTTACTTGATAGCAAATAAACATAACAATATCTAGTGTAATCATCAATAAAAGTTGTGAAATACTTTTTCCCACCACGTGTTGGTGTTGATTTCATATCACAAATGTCCGTGCGAATCAAATCTAAAAGATTGGAATTCCTTTCAATAGATTTATAAGGATGCTTAGCAAACTTAGCTTCCATACATATTTGACATTGTGTTTTATTGCCCTCAAAATTAGGCAATACTTCCAAACTAATCAGTTTTCACAAGGTCTTATAATTGACATGTCACAAACGTTCATGCCATAAACCACTCGACTCAAGCAAGTAAGCAGAACAAGAACTTTTATTATTAGCAATAGCTATTACATTGAGCTTAAACAAGCCCTCGTAAAGGTAGCCTTTTCCAACATACACTTCATTTTTACTAATTACAACTTTGTCAGAAACTAATACACATTTGAATCCATTTTTAGTAAGAAGTGGAGTAGAAACCAAGTTCTTTCATAACTCTGGAACATGTAGCACATTCTTGAGAGTCACCACCTTGCCATATGTCATCTTCAAGAGAACTTTGCCCGTTCCTTCAACCTTTGCAGTTATTGAGTTTGCCATGTAAATTATGTCATCACCTTGAGTAGGCTCATATGATGCAAAAAGTTCTTTGTTGGCACATACATAGCAGGTGGCACCAGAATCTATCCATCACTCTCTTGGATTGCCAACAAGATTGCATTTAGAATGCATAACTCATAGATCATCATCTTCAAATTCAGCAACATTTGCTTGATCTTTCTTCTTCACTTTCTTGGGAGCCTTACAATTTGCAGCCCTATGACCATTTTTTCCACAATTAAAGCAACTACCTTTGAATTTCTTCTCAGGTTGACTACTTTGCTGTGCAGAGTTTGCCTTTCTCTTTTTAGACCTTCCATATTCAACAATATTGGCTCCTAATATTGTTGAATTTCCACGAGGCCTCTTTTCCGCAGCCTTATTATCCTTTTCAATTCTCAATCTTACAATGAGATCTTCAAGGGACATCTCCTTTAACTTATGCTTTAAGTTGTTTTTGAAGTCCTTCCACAGAGGAGGTAACTTGTCAATTATAGCAGCTACTTGGAAGGCCTCATTAATCACTAGATCTTCCGCAAGGAGATAATTGATAATCAATTGTAATTCCTAAACTTGAGTAACAACAAATTTGTTATCTATACCATCTTGAAGTCCAGAGACTTTGCCACGGATGAATTTCTTCAATCCGGCATCCTCCGTCTTATACTTCTTTCCTATAGCATCCCAGAGGTCTTTGGAAGTTTTCATATTACTGTACACATTGTAAAAGTCATCATGAATCCCATTCAGAATATAGTTCTTGCATATGAAATTAGAATGCTTCCAAGCTTCAATAACCATAATGCGTTCATCTTTCGGAGTAGAATCTGCTAACTCAGGAACACTTTCTTTGATGAATCTTTGTAGACTCAAAGTAGTTAAATAAAATAGCATCTTTTGCTGCGACCTCTTGAAATTCATGCTAGTGAATTTTCACGTTTTCAGCCGGTGCAACACTTGTACGACTCGACGAAGCAATATTCATTGCACCAATTTTCGATGTCGTATCAGCCATGACTTCAGTTTCATTAGTCATCTTGCTGTCAAAAAAGACAAGCACACTTAGTGTCTTCAAATAAAGACTTTATCTTCATTTCCAATTTTTTCTAGTTTAACGATGAAGTTTATAACTTCCAATCGTTCACTGAATGAACTTTGATTTTCTAACGAACTTTTTAGGTTCTCCAAGTCAGTGATTTCACGTATTAGGACACTACCTCCAGTTCAAGTGCCAACGATCGTGAGTAGTAATATAACCCAACTAGTGAGTTGGGGTCGAGTCCGAAGGGAGCGGTTCATAACTGAGAATCAATAGAAAAACATAAATGTGTTCAAGTCAATTATAGCTATAAATATTTACAAGGAAAAACATGATAAATTAAAGGGTGACATAAGTGTCAAGTATTAAAATGGGGTTTTGTAATCAATTATCAACTAAACCGACAACAAAAAACGAAAATACAACTATGGAGATGTGATAGGAATATGGGCTAAGGTAAACAACCAATCGCTATTGATAGTAAATTGCTGTAAATTGGTAACTAAGCTAGACTATAATGGGGGTAAAATTTCTCTCCAACAATTTACCCTGAACCAAATCAGTTTCTGTCGAACACCAATAAGCGGCAATGAAGCACATCCTTCGCCTTAGTCCATTCACTCTCTCAAACTGAATGTGTGGGAGAGGGCTTAGGATTCACCCTCTCGAGCTGAACCCACGACAACCCAATAACCACAGACCATCGATTCAATAGTTTTGGTTTTAAAACCTCTCTCTTGAGAAAGCCAAAAACACGAAGTTAAAATTGTATTTGCAACTACAATCCAATTAAATTCAAACACAACCACTGAACGAAATCACTTTTAAATAGAAAATAAACTATCAATTAGTAATTCCCAGCAGTAAATTCAGCCCACATTCACATAATCACACCCCCAAGAATTGGGATTTTAGCTAGACATAGTAAAGAGATAGAAAATGATACCGAAAAGTGTTTCCATCAAGTGGGTACGATTGATATGGTCTTTACACACGTCTACGATGAAGAATCTTCAATACCCACTTCCAATTTCTTCATAATGGGGATTTTCAGAATCTCCAAAGTTAAGGGAAAATTGTCTCCAAAAACTATGTTCTAAAACTGAGTAATTTTAAAATTTCATAAACTGGTTGCATACTAAACTAAAAATTCAAACAAATATTTATAGTTGTCAAAAAGTGTGCTGCAAAGGTCCACTCGGTGCAGTTAGTCGGCATCGCCGATCCCCTTGGCGATCCACCCTTTGATCTGGTTCATCGCCTTTCTGCATTGGCCTTCAGCAAATTCAAGTTCTGTAACTTTGGGCGATATAACATTGCATCGCGGAACTGTTCGGTGACTCACTGACTGCTCCTTTCTATCGCCGACTTGATTCTATCCTTCAGGGCTTGGCACACTAGAACATTAGGCGATACCAAGGCCATTCGGCGACTCGCCCAATGGTCTAGGCGATCCTCAAGCCTTCTTTTCTTCGTTCTTTCAACTGCCTTAATCCTTTTTGCTCAATGGTGTCCATGCTTTGTCCCTAAGTTCAAATACCTGAAATTCAAGAATTTATATCAGTTATTGAGACAAAATATGCATTCGAGGACACTAAATCTATAAATATTAAGCCCTAAATGAGTCCAAATCGTGGACTCATCAACACCCCCAACTTAAACTTTCGCTTGTCGTCAAGTAAAACTCAAGTTCAACATTTCAAAAAGGATGTCTCAAATAGTGCTACACAAGACTCAATCATGAATGCACATAAAAAGACTCAACTTACTCATGCAATGATCAAAATGTGCACTCAAAGTTTCCAATTTTGACTTACCTTTATCAAAGAATCTCAAGCTCACAATACTTGCTTCAAATGCAAGTTCAAGCTCAACAAAGGAAATCAAATGCCCTTACACAAAGAATGATTCCATGTTCACACTCAAGGGTTCAACAATTTAAAGTTCCGGAATCAAATGCAATGCTCACACTCACAAAGATGAACACAATATATGATTTCACCCATAGGTTTACCCGTATTTCCAACCAACATTTGTTTCAGCTCACTCAAGATCAAAAAGGTCTTTTCAAGGCTTCTAACGTGGCTGATTGCAATGGTATGGTCATTTAGGCTCATTGGCTATAGCCCTCATGAAACGTGGTGTGCACAACACCTTCTTTCCTTTTCTTCAACATTTTTCATTTCTGCTTACAAGTCATCCCATTATTCATTTTCCATGGACTGCTGGAAAGCCCATTTCATTTATGTATTTTCACAACTTTATTACACATTTTTTTTTCTTTTTCTTTTTCATTATTTTCTTCTTCTTTTATGTATGGAGGGGTTCCATTTTTTTTTTCAAAACATGGGTAAAAGGGGATTTTCTTGCAGTTTCTTGATTTACCTTCTCTTTTCACCACACCCCCAACTTAGGCGCATGGACTATGTTGGCTATTCAAACATGCCACAAATTATGAGGATTATGGGTAATGGATTAGGAAAGGTTATGTTTTCAGCAAGTTTCTTCCCAGAAAAGGGTAAGGCTCAAAGGGTGCTCAAAAGGGGTTCACACACTCACAAGGTAGGCCACAAAAAGATGTATACTGTCAAATTGTTTCACACTCTTTAAAGTTGCCTAAGATCATATCAAGAGTTCACGTCACTTAGTCAGCCGGACCAACGAGGCGAATTCTAGGTGCCATCACACATGGTTCACGGTAAGCTCATCACATAAGGCATTAACTCCAATGTCAAACAAGACTCCACACTTTTGCTAGTGTGCAATGTTCATCACAAGAGATTCAATTCGATATTTGGTTAGTCACAACAAGATGCAAAGAGTTCACATATTGGATATGCAACTTCATTTGGCCTCATCGTAGCCGCACATTCATTTTTGTTTGATTCTGAAAACTATTCAAGTCATCGATATTGATCAAACCTGATACTCAAATTTGAACAAGAACAACTACATTCAAAACAAATAAGAGGTGGTAAAATTTTTTTGGAAGGGTCAAAGATCATTTACAATTAAAAACAAGGAGCCACAAGCTCAAACATCCACAAAAAGTAGTGTATGACACAAATTTAGCTCAAAGCCCAAATATATAAACAAAACAAGAATTAGGAATGTCACACAAAAGGTGGCCGTCACCCCACCACAAATAAAAGTATTTGTCCTCAAATGCAAACAAGCTAATAATATCCAAAAATTAAAATAAAAGTAAAATAAAGAGGATGGTAAAGAGGGGATCTTGTCTACTCAGTCGCTCCATTTGTCTGGGCATCAATACCCGGTGCATTTGTCTGGTCTCAGGCCTCAATACCCGGGGTCACCTCAAAAGGAACAACAACTACATTAGGAGCATCCAAGGGAGTATATGCTAAGGAAGCATGCACAACAACATCTACCATGGTCTCTTCAATCTTAGTAAGGCCATAATATGAAGCTTCCACAGCCACCTCGAGCATCTCCTCATCAGTCTCCACCTCAGACTTAGGATCAGCTGCTTTCTCAACTCTACCCTCATCTCCGGTGGTAGCCGGAGGCATCTCTGGCACATCTGGGATCTCCACCGTCCCAAGGATCATGGACATATCGGTGGACTTCAGCTGATCCACATCGCTCCGCAACACAGCTATAGTGGCCTTTAAGGCCGTCACCTCCTCGGTGGCCCCTTGGCCACGCTCACACACCGCTATTCTTGTCGTAAGGGAATCAATGGCAGTGCTCATTGGTGTCACACCATCATGTTAGTTTGAATCATGCCCGGAATGGAGGCCTCGAGTCTGGCAGCTCAACGATCAGCAAAATGGGCAAGTTGCCCCATCTGGAGTAATGAAGCCTGGGTGATCAGAGTCCGGGAGACAGCAGCAGCAACAACAGGTCTAGGGGGCAGTGCAACAACAGAAGAACTAGGAACATTAGAAGGAGTAGCGATAGAGGTAGCTGAAGGACCATGGTCCGGAGTAGGCAAAGATGTATCTCCATGTATGGAGTCTGTGTCCACAACCAAGGAAAGGTCCACCGGGGCAGCTTTCGACCCCTTCTCTGCCTAATCCTTAAGATATTTAACTTCGATTCTCTGGATATTAGTGGAGAATATGGGAATCACTTCCACATCCTTCTTTGCATCTCTGGGTACCCGAGCCTGTCTGCACAACTCGATGATCAATACCGAGAAAGGAAGTGAGGTCTGGCGCTGCTTTGCACGCATGAGAATCTTTGAAGCAATGATCATCCCTAAATTTAGCTGTGTTTTATCAATAATGCAACCTAGACAGGCTGCTTTGGCATGTCGGAGAATAAACTCATTTTGGGATGGCATGATCGTACTGCTAATGAAACCAAACTAATACCGAGCTGCCACGTTGAGGTCATTCTTTTCAATAACAGCACCAACCTCAAGCCACTTGGGACTGTTGTCTGAGATCAACGGAGCTAACCATTTCTTTATGTTGTTCAACATTTTAGTCCTAATCATGTAATGGCAGTCATCATCAATGTCATCAGGGCGATCTAGGATAGCTTCAATAACGACATGGTCACACTTGACATTCTTTCCCCGGACGACTACATAGTCAACCAGTTTGAATGCTGCTGCTTGTTTCTTCCTCTGTGGTATCAAGGTTCCGTAAGAAGCATAGAACTCCCAGACCCAATTTGGAATGTATGGGCCATGGGCTTGGTGAAGATTTGGAAATCATGATACTTGAGGCAACTCATAATCTCTGGATACCTATCAATCACTCCATCCATGGATAGACGCTTTTCCTCAATAATTGTCCTCAGCCCGTCAGTCTTTAATCTATTCATTAACTTTAGAGGAGGGCCCTGTAATGGGGGTGCCAGCACCACTGCTTGTTCTGGGACTGGAGGAGGAGTGATAGCCGGAGGAGTC